TGGTGTCAGGAGGACCTGGTGTCAGGAGGTCCTGATGTCAGGGGGAGCTGATGTGAGGAGGACTTGGTGTCAGGGTGAGCTGGTGTCAGGAGAACCTGGTGTCAGGGGGACCTGGTGTCAGGGGAAGCTGGTGTCAGGAGGACCTGGTGTCAGGGTGAGCTGGTGTCAGAAGGACCTGGTGTCAGGGGGAGCTGGTGTCAGGGGGAGCTGGTGTGAGGGGGACCTGGTGTGAGGAGGTCCTGGTGTCAGGAGGACCTGGTGTCGGGGAGCTGTAGTCAGGGGGACCTGGTGTCAGGGGGACTTGGTGTCAGGGGGACCTGGTGTCAGGAGGAGCTGGTGTCAGGGGGAGCAGGTGTCAGGGGGAGCTAGTGTCAGAAAGATCTGGTGTCATGTGGACGACCTGGTGTTAGGGGTAGCTGGTGTCAGGAGAACCTGGTATTAGGAGAAGCAGGTGTCAGGAGGAGCTGGTGTCAGGGGGAGCTGGTGTCAGGCGGGGCTGGTGTCAGGGGGAGCTGGTGGTCCTGGTCCCCCTTACACCAGGTCCCCCTAACACCAAGACCTTCATCTGGGTCCACACAGCACCAGGTCCCTCTAAAACCAGATCCTCCTGACACAAGGTACCCCTAACATCAGCACCTTCAAATTGTTCCCCCTAACACCAGATCCTCCTGTCACAAGGTCACCCTAACATCAGGACCTTCAAATTGTTCCCCCTAACAAACCAGGTCCTCCTAACACCTTCATCTGGATCCACACAGCACCAGGCCCCCCTAAAACCACGTCCTTCGGACACAAGGTCCCCCTAACGTCAGGACCTTCAAATTGTTCCCCCTAACACCAGGTCCTCCTGACACCAGGTCCCCGTAACACCAGGACCTCCAAACACCAGGTCCTCCTGACACCACGTCCCCCTAAAGCCTAGTTCACATTACACGACTTTCACCTGCGATTTTGACGTCGCAGACGATCTTGAGAACCACCTTGGGTCGGAGGTGAGTCGGCAGATAGTCTGCCACGACGAGTCCTCATGTGTGAACAAGCCTACAAGCAAGTTGCCTCCTCGTCTGTGACTGGATATCTGGCATGCTAGAAAACTGGAGAAGTGTGACACAACTGACAAAGAGCCTCAGCCAATGAGAGGCGGGATACGTCCCACGTCAGCGCGCAGGAGGACGGAAGAAATGTGAGGACAAGCCGCAGGGTTGCCCCTGGCCAGGTCCACTTATTAGCCACGACTTTGGGCTTGTTTCTAAAGTGGAGCTGCTTATTTGGGTTTGCTCTCTAAACGTCACCTTCCTCTACATATATCCGTCCAGAAAGTTATTTAAACGCATGATAGTCGCTTCTTTTGGGCTTGTTTCCATCCCACGATCTGGCAACACTGACAAGCAATAACCACAGTGGAGGCATCCGCAGGATCACGGGGAGTGGGATGTGTTTGGACCCAGGATAATAAAGAATATCCATGCCTTCACAATGTGTCGTCTCCAAGTTTGGTGACACGAGGTGCTGGTGTTAAGGGGGACCTGGTGTCAGGGGGACCTGGTGATAGGGGGACCTGGTGTCAGGAGGACCTGGTGCTGTATGGACCCAGATGAAGGTCCTGGTGGTGGTGTGGTGTCTGTACCGATGCTGTTGTAGCTGAGCAGGGTGGTGGTGGTGGAGGTGTGGTGGTCCGGTTGGTTTTGCTGCTGCCAGACTCTGAACTGGTGACAGGAGAGTCCCTGATGTTGGGGAGACCACTGCAGACACAGGACCATGTTAGTCTGTGGAGGTTCTGACCTGTGATCAGAGAGACAGGTGTGTGTTGTTCTTACAGGTGATCTGCACTGACAGCAGGTGCTCTTCTTACAGCTGGGACAGTCCATCCTCAACCTGTCGGCCTCATGGAGCATCCCGAAGGAA